CACACCTCTGTGATCGATTGGACCAGAACAAACTATTGTGTTTATTTCACACCTCTGTGATCGATTGGACCAGAACAAACTATTGTGTTTATTTCACACCTCTGTGATCAATTGAACCAGAACAAACTATTGTGTTCTGTTCATGTGATTCATTGCTGCTTAGCTCATACCTCTAACTTTTGAGATTCCTGTCTTTGAACCTCATTTCCAGGAATTTTCCTTCCTCAAGGAACATATCTCCTTGGTTTCCATGACTCATGCTTGCTGGCTTTTCAAAATAGGGCTACATGGTCACCAATTGCACTGTCTCTAGTAAATAACCTTTCCAACTGAAGGAACTGATGGGGATCTGGGCATTTTCTCCAAGTCTTCCCATCACAAATTTCTTTCTCTTTGAGTGGAGCAGGGGAAGTTCTTGCCACTTACCAGTTCCTACCTGCTGGGGTAGTAGACCATGGAGAATCCTCACCCACTGGGACCTAATTGCTGAGTCTAGAACAAAAGGTGCCAATCGGTGAGAATTTGGCGGTGAAAACTCTGTCATTGTAGCCAATTGTGCTTTCCTTCTGCGGCCCTAGTCTGTTCAGTTGAGTCGAGGTGTGCACACACATGCCATTCCACACTATGGCATGAATACTGTGTCCTCCTCCCACAGCTGGTGTTGGTCCAGTAATGCTAAAGTAAAGTTGAAATGAGCACAAGTTATGGTCAGAATGCTCCCCAACCATGCTACACATATTGGTTCTCCAACATCTTGTGTGAAAGTATTCAAACACCCATGTTCTTATTATGCCCTTCCCTGTGACAGGTGCAGCTCATTTGCCTCCTTTTTTTTTGTCCCCTCTGCAAAGAGTATTCTCTGAAAGAGATGAGATGCAGTCTTCCACAGGTGTGCACTCCTGTGGAGCCCCTGCTATTGAGTGTTATACTCCATGGATTTCTTTCAGGCAGTTTCTAAAGGGTACTCATCTAGGTAAGTGTTTGCACCAGCCCCTCCACAGATGGAATGTGTTTCGGTTTACATGAAAATATCCGAGTACTTCTAATCAAAGGTAAGTTACCTACTTAGATGATAACTAAGTAGTTCAAAATAACATGGACAGTAATGGTGATAGACTTACGTAATAAACTGCTCATATCTTTAAAATTAATTGTAACAAGAACTTCGGTTTTACTAAGTAATTCTGCAAATCAGTATATGCATGTTTTAGTAATTACAGATTAACCACTTTATAGGATTTGTTTAATAGTTTGTCCTTTTACTTATCAGTACACAGTGTCACCAGATTTGTTTGTTTTTTGCACTTTTCAGAGAGTGTAGAATGTTTTTCTGTAAGCACTTGTATTACCATGAGCATGTATTACCATGAGCTTGTATTACCATGAGCATGTATTGCCATGCTCATGAAATATATTTTTATTGGGTTATTATGGAAACTATTTAGTTTCTGAAGAGTGAATAACACGATATTAGAGAACACAAATAATTAATCACAACAATACAACCTTCAGTTTCAACTTTGATTTTATTATAGTAACTGACTTCTTCTGTAACTTTCAGTTAATTGGCTGCTTCCTCTACTTATTATCATCTATTGTGCATGTTCTGACAACTGTGGCTCGTATTTAAACAGGTAGAGCATGTTTGCCCAAGTGTTCTTCATAGCTAGTTAGGCCAAGCATGTCCATTTGATAGGATGCCAGAATGAGGTTCTGTGGCTTGTGTCCTGGTACCACCAAAATATAATCGTTCTCCATTCTTTGGGGCAGTTGGTGCGTTACATGAATGGTTGTCAAATCCCACTATTTGGTGCGATAAGAGTTCACTAGCTGCCTTTCCTCTAATCCAGTGGTTCTCAAATGTTTTTGTCCATGAACAACTTTGGCAGGGCAGAAGACCCCGTGGACTACCTACCAGTCCTACCCCACCTGCTTTTGCTTGCCATCTTAAAAACACTCATCAGTAATTTGCATTTTGGACCAGCCTGCAGACCACACTTTGAGAATCATTGCTCTAGTCTATCACTTTATATTTACTCTTGTTAATTCATAGTGATCATTTGCTTTTGTGTTGAGATGCATTTTAACCTATCTTGGAAAAGAGTATATCACATATATATTAGAACCACAACCATAACTTTGAGGGCTTTCATGTTTCAAGGATATTGAATCTTCTAATAGATTAACTGAAGAAAATCTTATTAACAGATTAGTCTTGTCAACTCCTGATTTTTGTTCATATTTTTCAACTGTTTTATCTACAAGTCAGGATGCAAAAAAATCATCAAGTTGCCCGTTCTAGACATGTAATAATTGGGTGGGAATGAGTGTATTTGAAAAATTGGTTGCTCCTGGGGGAAAACAATTTTTTAAAAAACATTGTAAAGGGAGGAGCTAAGCTTCAAAATAATGGAAGCAACTAGCCAATCATTTGTAATGAAAGTTTTGCCTCTTACAACTTTTTAAGAGGAAAAGCCACACTTGACGGTTGAATACAGGTAATTAGAGACATTTTTTTATCATCTCTTGTTGCTGCTAGTGGAGTTTCGTAAATAATTTCCTTTAAAAAGCTCCAAAAATATTTCTCTACTACGAATAATTGGGCAATATGACACTTAACACTTTGTAAGAATGTATAAAATATAACAAACTGAGGTTTTGTGTCGTTTTTTTGTCACTGGTGGCGTATAGTGCAGTGATATTCAATCCGTATGTCACTATCGACTGTGGCCAAAAATAAATGTGTTAATAACTATAAAACAAATTAAAATTGGTTGAATGTATAAAATATAACAAACTGAGGTTTTGTGTTGTTGTTTTTTTTCACTGGTAACAATACATTATTACAAAATTCATTGAATTTACACAAAGTCTACACTAAATTAGGTTTGGAAAGTAGTATCTATTTAAATTGGTGGAATAAACAGTATTATTAAGTATTATTATACAGTATTATTAAACAGTATTATTAAGAGTGACAAGTACTTCCTGAACTTCACTTGCCAATGTAGGTGCTTGTGGCATAACATGCTTTAACTTCTCTTAAGTCTTTTGTTCCTGATCCATTAGTTCGTGGAATGAATGAATGCCCTTCCTCAAATTTTGGATGGGCCATATTAAAAAGTTTATGTAGCTAATATGTTATACATTCACACTTTCTAACTATACAAAATCAAAATCATGTCAAACTAATTTTTTAATACAAACTATTGTAACATACTATGCCTTTTTATGTTTTTATAAAATGTAAGATCTAAAATTTAAAAAAGGAAACCATAAGTGTATGTTAACTATTTTTGGCAGTTATAACTTTCATAAAAATTAGTTTTCAAACATATTGGGGATAAAGTACAAATTAATGTCCTATAAACAAAATTTGTGATCTTATTAGTTAGGCTATTTTTTTCATTTTCTTCAAAAATATATTGTTTAAGTCAGCAGTCAGAAAAGTTAATTAAGCTGATAAGAAAATGTATTTAATAGTACCGTTTCCTACAAGCATCCGATATACATAAGTGAGAAAAACTTGAGTCTGTATAAATGTATAATCAGGTACATATTTAGTAACATGCAGAAATATTACCACTGACTTCTTGTCTTTCCAGCATTTGTGTGATGGTCTGTGGACAGTCCTGTTACTCTTATGAAAGCAATCATCCATTAGGCTTAACTATGATGAAAAAGCGACAGTTACAGAAACTAGGATATTACGTAGTCCAGGTACGTGCACTTACATAAGTGCATCATAATTTGATTATTTCTGTTTGTTGGCAAGAAGCAGTATTATTTGTTTTGACTTATAATCACATTGTATATCCTAGTCCAGCAAGATATATTGCAAAGTAAATACTGAGTTAGACTAAAACTAACTAAGTCTGTATCAAGGAATAAATGGACTGGAAGAAAATTGGAAACTAGATACATCATTAAAAAACCTTCACATATTTACTACCATTGCAACTCCAAAATTTGTAGTGTGTCTTATTAAAAACACCATAATTTTAAACAAGGAACGGAACATCAACAAACAAAGAATTAAGGATAATTAAGATAACTGGACAACACAGCTCTACCCTAAACCAACACCTTTAGGTCCCAAGATAATCCCAAATCTCTGGTCATGTGACTTTGTTTCATACTGTACCTGATAACGACAAAATCTTATCAAAATGTGATACTGTGTTAAAACTTGTGATAAAGTTTTCTTCATCACCCATTCAAGCCATCTCTAAACTTTATTAGTCTCAAAATTGGTTCATCTTTATCAAATTAGGGCTTTCTCTCTATCTTTTTTTTTTCGTCGTTACTACTGTTTTACTGTCAAAGCTCAGTTCTCTAAACTGTAACACAAGGTTAGTTTACAAGTTTGGTGTAACTCAAACTATTATTTATTGTTCATTTGAATGTAACTGGCATGTAAGATATAACACAATAAAAGCACAACATAAATGGCCAATTTTATGTAGTTATAATTGTTGTAAAAAAAGGATTATTGGTCAAATATGTAATGATGTACAGCTTATTAGTTTGAATTGGTATGTCAGTACAACATGAATTTTTTAATCTTATCTAAATTGTGTTCTGTAATGTAACATTAACAAATTTACAAATGTTAGTTTTTATTAAAATATTTAACTTTTTCTTTTCCAATTTTAATACAATCTGAAAAAAATTTTTATACCCCATACCATGCAGTTTTTAAATTTTGTGCAACTTTTACTTGAAGACCTTGCACTTTTGTTCATTTAATTTATAATCTGAAATTTGTTTTTTAATTACAGATCCCTTGGTTTGAATACTACAAGCAGCCAAAAAGACAAACACTGAAATATTTGCATCAGAAAATATTTTTTACAGGTAAAATTGAACATTTAGAAACAACTTAGTACAAAGTCATTATTGTAGTTGTGCATGTAAAAATAAAAAACTGATTTAATACACAAACTAATCTTTATAATTCCCTTTAACTCTCTCTCAACACGGGCTCAGTCGGTTTGACGGACCACATGGCCTCTTTATACTCGTTTAAAGTCTTTATAGTTTTGATACAACCAACTTTTAATATAGTGTGTATATCTTCAAAACATTTAGCAGACTTTCATTAAACATTGTCTTTCACATACAAAAAAAATCATATTTTAGTGAAGTATTTTTTGTTTACTAGCCTGCGTGCAAAGTGATTTTCATATGAAGATTAAAAATACTTTTCTTGATCTCAAAAATCTTAAATTTCATTTGTGTAATCTTTGAAACATCCTTGATACGTTTCAAATGTTTGTTTTCAGTAAAACTTTATATTTTATCTATTATTTTCTCAACCCTACCCTTTGCCCAACCTTGTAACCACCAAAAAAAATCGAACTAAATCTATATTACCGTTTTCTTCTTTCTATAATGATTTCAAATGTAGTGTGAAACTATAATCTCTCAAACCTTTTCAATACACTTCACACATTTGTTTACAGTAAACATTTTATTTTATCTGTTATTGTCTCTACCATTTAAGGTTGACCAACCTCGTAACAACTGAAAAAAATTGAAATAAATCTATATTACCCTATTTTTCTAGAATGACTTCAAATTGTAACATGAAACTACATTCGTTTATCTTAAGTAGCTCTAAACTCCTAACAGTATACATCTATTTATACTTAGATTTTATTGTTTTATTGCCCTTTTAACCACTCTAATTACTACTATTCATGTAAATCACATTGGGAACGTGCATTATCAAATTACATTACACATGAGCTGCTCAATTGGTAGGGAGGAGAAAGATTTACAAAATTCCACAGAAGAAGACACAAGTGATCACAGTGATGATAAAAATGTTCCATCCCCATGATGAATCTACTTTACAGGGTTAAGTGTCATCAACAATCAACAGCAAAAACATGATGACCTGGGTAAGTACTTTATTTCTTGTTTATTTTTTATTTATTATTATAAAAGTAATTAAATGTAAAAATAGGGATATCTTTAAGTTAGTTAGGGTTAGATTAGGTAAAATAATAATATAATAAAAATGTTTCATGAGACACGCACACTTAAAGGCTTGCAGATGAATCATTATCGACTTCTCTGACCTCTTATGGCACTTCTGGGTCATTTCCTATTGTTTGGGGTTCAGTGAAGTACCCCAATTGGTAGTCTGACTCATTCTCAAGTTGCTGTGGTTGCAGGAGTATTTAAGGAAATGTCAAAATTGGAGCCATAAGAAATTACCACCAGCTTACCATTCTGTCACTGGTACAAAGCTGCCCCTAACCCAATGTAGGATAAATTTACTGCTGAAATATGGGTACCCTAATACTGGAGGGCATGACAAGAAGTCAGTAAGATTGTTTAAAACCTATTGGTGACATTCTGTCTAGGTAATTAGCTGCTGTGACAAAACCTGGCCCTTATTCTTCAGCCTCCTTAAGAGTTCTTCTTGATACTACTTTGGGTTCTGTAGATTTAGTGTTTCCAGTTGACAACAAATCATAGAGGGGTTTTGCTATTCAAGAGTATGAAATGAATCCCAAAACCTTACGAAGTTCATTCACCCTCTTTGGTTTTCTTTTTATTCAATGCTTATACTGGTTCAATTTCAGCTGGGTCTATTGAATATCTACTTTTGAACACGATTTTTCCTAGGAGACTGACTTTATTTTTGAATACTTTACACTTCTCCAGAATTAGCTTGACTCCATGCTGCTGGTAACATTGCAGTACAGTATGGATATCTTTCATATGTTCTTTGAATAAATTGCTGTGAACTAAGTTGTCATCAAGATATGACTGGCATATTTGGTCACTGAGCCCTGACAAACATTCCTCAATACTCCTTTGGAATTTGACTGGAGCTAAACTTAGGCTAAATGGAATTCTGACCCAGTCATAAAGATTCCACGGAATTATGAAGGCAATAAGTGGAAGACTTTTCTCGTCAATGAACCCCTAATGTTATGCTTTCCCTTGATCTAATACTGAAAAACAGGTGATTCCACTCAAGTTATCTGATGCAGACCACAGATGATGTATATGATTATTTAGACTTGGTCATCCACTTCCTGTTAAGTAGGTCTTGGAGATACTCTTTCATTTCCTTGTGAAGTGGCTTTGATATCAATGTATATGTTCTCTTGACAGGTGGGTTGTCTTTGTGGTTAATATGCAGCTGTAATGAGGGAATGCAACCAATATGCGAGTCATTCCTAGAAAATGCATTATACTCCTTTCTCATTAATTGCTTGATGATCACCCGCTGGTCCTCTGTCAAGGGATTCAGGTTCACTGGGAGGGGGTCTCACAACTTGAGTTGGTTGCCCTTAGATGCTGTATTGGGTATAATGTCCTTGTGAGATGTTCTGTACAATTACCAATGTTATTTTTCTCAGTCTCAGGACTAGGCAGGCTTGCTGGAAACTCTACAGAATTTTCTTCAACTGAATACACTGCCTTTACTGTCTGAATGTGTTCAGGAGAGTGTGTTGACCGAGTGGGATCTTGTGGTGTATGTAGTTAGATACTGGTATTGTCATCCTTGATGAGGACTCATGTACTGTCACTAAAGCTTCACCAATAATCACACCATCTGGCTACCTGTGATTTTCTTCTTGTACAAACAGAATTTCTTGCTTCCTCTGGAGCTGGCCTATATGTACACATTTTACACTTGTAGTCTGACCTGCTGGAAGAACCACTCCTCATCTGCCCACTCTGACTATGCTTCCAACACTCTCTGAGTTATTGCTGTGTATCAATATTACAAGTATCTCTGCTGTTCTAGAGCTTACTGAGAATGCCATGCCAACCATCTTAACGATGTCCTCTGTCTTTCCACCAACTTCTTCAGTAACATTGTAGCCAAAGATTGGTTCTTCTCTGACATTTGTATCATTTGATACAAGTATTAGTACTACAAGTTCTTGCTGTTGTTAACCTCTTGACTCCAGTTGGAAGCTCACTTCAACCAGTGAATGGGATGTCTTTTTTTCATTTGCTGCTTTCCTGCTCAGTGTTCCATGACCTAGAAGCTCTTCAACTGGTCTGACTTGAGTGTAAGCAAGATATTTTTTCACCATTCTTCATCAAAAAGACTAGCCTGGAAACCAGTATCCCTCAGTGCTTGCACTCTGATGTTGTCGAATAAGTACTAAACTATGCACTGCTTTCCACTCAGATTTGAAAGTTTTGACTGGATCATTGGTGTAATGTAGCTGATATAACAGGATCCAGGTAATTTGTCTTTGTCCATTGTGATTTTCCTCTATTTGCTTAATGCAGTTACAAATAGTCATATGGTCCTTCCAGTGCTGCTTTTGGTATTTCTTAGGGCAATATGCAGCAGCATGGCATCCCTGACAAACCTTCTTTCTGACAGCCTTAGGAATGGTGGGACTTTGTGTGAACTCTGGTTATTGTCTGTCCTGTGACAGCAACCTCTCCCCATTTCCCTGTGGCTACCTAGGGGGCTCAGCAACCTCTAGATAGCTGACCTGTTACATCACATTTAAAACAATGATTACAGTTATCTCCCTGATCAGCATCCTAGCAAGCTTCACAACCTCGCTTGAACTGTCATTGTGTCCCTATCTATGTCCCTTTTGCTGTATTTCAGTGTTGTTGTATGGGGGAAGTTATCATTTATCTCACTTCTGCTATTTCTTGTCATAATTCCCTTACCAATGCTCTCAGATCAGTCTCTGCCACCTTCCTATTCTTCTTGGCTCCTTTTCAGTTCAAGCTGATCATTGTAGTTAAAAGTTAACTCACTTGTTCTTGTTTTGCATATCATTTACTCTTGCTCCTCTATCTGGTGTGTTCTTCCTGAGCTTTTGCTGTTACACCCTGATCATCGAGCAAGTGCTTCAACTGAAATTTATGTTTAGTAAACACTCCACCTCCTACTACCTTCAGACATTTCCTTGGAAGTGGCTGTAATGTATTGTTCTTCTGCCCCTTTCTCATTTGACTCAAACAACACTCTCTTTCATTATTTTGAAGTATTCAATGTTTTGGTTTCTTGCTAAAGTCTTTGTTTAGATGGTTGTAAATTCCAGAGTTGTTGGAAGTGCTATTTTGCATATGCTACTTAGCTCTGGTAGCTAAGGTTCATGTAATTTACCCAATTAGATCTTCTAATTCAAAATATAAAACAGCTAACAGCACGCTGCATCTCAAACCATAAAGAATTTATCATGCCTGAGATGGGCAAAGAACTTTGAAATATTCATTAAACAGTTAAAAATAACAACACTTCTGAGTAAAATGCAAACATAATTGCAATTTATGCATCTGTACAATGCAAAAACTTTCATAAATCACTTACTCCTATACCATGTACGTGTTTTAAGATGTGACTAGTACGTGTCAACATTTGTATGACAGTGGAAGATGCATGTGTGTGTGTAAGTCTTTGGGCAGAATTGGTGATAAAACCCAGAACAAAGAAAACACACCACACATTGGACTAGTACAAACAGAGACTCAAATGTTGTTGATAAACAATTAATATAAGCAGTGACTTTAACTTAGAACATTGAATCATATGGTAAGGAGATACTAGTGAGGTGAGCTATACAAGAGCTTCAAACCAACCTCAGTCAGTTTACTTAAGTTTGGGGCCTAACACAGTATATTACTTTACATAACCAACAACATAACATATCCACAATGCACCATATAGGCTGTGAGTAGAGTCTTTAAATCAAAATAAAGATCAACAGATTTTTTTAAATGAATCACAGCACAAAATACAAATTATGTTTGGATCAAAACAAAATGCAGACATAATAGCATATCTTTAATTTGTATTGGTATGGGTTTTACTGTTGAATAACAGATATCTCAAAGTCAAAACTGGTCAGTTGTGCAGTTCCTTAATACCAATACCACAAGGTATCCAGGGTATAAAGGTGTTTCTTACACACTGTTTAGTTTGGTCAGTTGTA